AAACACAGTATTTTATTTTGAAATCAGTGTTGAATTTAGGTAAAATTTCATCTGTCTCAGTGCAGCATGACTGCTTTTTATATTGAAAGTCTTACGATGTCTTAATACCAAAGTGTGGTTTCAGGTTAAAGTGTGCTACAAGTGCTTCTGCTTTATCAGAATTTCCTTTTAGGATTTATTGAGAGGGAGACATTCAGAGTGTCGTAAAAAAATAAAACTGATGCTTTGTTGTTGTTGGGCTATAAGCACTGTACTTTGGTTGGTTATAATGCTACCAAAATCCACACAGTACTTAATTTATCTAACCTTCTGATAGTGAATGAACAAAGGTAAAAATAACAGGCTAGTTATAAACTAGTACTATGGTGATGACATTGTGAATTATTTAAAAAGGGCATATTCAATGTGACCATAGAGCCATCAATCATAATAGACATTGATGAGAAAAAGAGGTTTCAGTCACTTCCTATCTGCAAGGAGAACAATTCTATCTCACAGGTAGCTATGAAGTGCTGGGTGACCTGATGTCACTTGCATTGTTGCTCTACCCTTTGAACGGAGCGAGTAGATTCTCTCAATATTAGAATCGAATGAGTAAATAAATTCGCAGTTCACTGCCACTCTCCTTCTGAGTGCACACTTCAATTTGTCTAACAATAGAGAGGACAGAAAAGCAGAAATCTCTTAAAGCGTGGATGAATTTTTTATGGAATGTTCAAATCCAGCTGCAAAGGATGGGGTTTTAAATGGTAGCAGACACTCTTTAGAGGGAGTCCCAAGAGACGAAATCTTTTGGAAATGTTTTGTGCTGAATTCATTCCTTTCCACGTACACATCCGTAGCTTTTCTTCTTCTGAAACGTTGTTTTTACTAAATTGTTCCACCTTTGAGTTCACATTGATCATTGAGATGCCAAATAAAAACACTTCCTCTCTCTTTAATATATAGAATGCAGTAGAATTTTCATTTCAAGTAGGTAAGAACAGTTTTTAAACTGCATGTGTGTGATACTGCTGTATTTGCTTCATTCAGTAGCGAAGTTAAGTTTGCAGGGGAAGAGAGAGGTGGCTGGTTAAGAATTTTTTTTTTAACATACTAATAATTTTAACTTCTTTTATTTTCCATTCAGGTAATCAGAATAATTTTGTTTAGCACAATTTCTCACCTCAGGGTTTCTTACTTGAATGTTAACATCATGTGTATTCATTTATATTATTTATATTTTTGAGTACCACTTTTCCCCAGTCACAGAATCCTACAAAATCCTCTGGCATTTACCAAAGCACAAAGCTACAAAAATGTGCATTATTTTTCTATGTGGCTATCTGGTAAAATCCACCACTTCACTCTAGCACAGTCATATTTTACGACATAAACCCATAAATGGTATGATTTTTTTCTTTGAAATATTCTCACAAAAATCAGTGAATGTAGCTAACTAAGCTTTCTTCCTCTACCTCTGCCCACCCCCACTCTCCACCCATCCTATTAGAGTGGAAAACATGAAGTGTGTTTGCATTGCATTCTGCATCTACAGCATAGTCTCTTGAAGCATGTACACTACTCATTTTTATTCACTTTTCCTCTGCAATATATTCTGGAAGTATATTCATCTCAACGTAACCTCTGGAACCACTTTAGAAATGTGTACTACCACTTAATTGTTAATAACAGGTAAATCAAAGGTAAAAGATAACTAATTAATTTTCTAGCTCAGTTTTATTTTACTGTTACTGTTTTGAGAAAATATAACAAAACCCCATTAGTGTTAAGGTAAGCCCATGAAACAACATAATATAATGCAAGAAAGACATTTAATAGTGTAGAGGAATGTTAAATTACTAATTAACTCCAAGTTACTGTATAAGAAAGCATAGTAATTTACAGGATTATTGCAGTATGCAGCTTGGATTGCCATGAGGGTCAGCTAGGGAGCATTTCTTTCTATTTCCCCCCTTAGTGTGGTGGTTACTGTAAAAATCTTCTCACATTAAAGCGCACTGTCCTACCCACAGTTCATTGCTGCTAATTAGCAGCAGTTGAGATTTTGCTAGCAGTCATTTTTTTTCTGTGTTAAGCTGCCAAATGTTACCAACTGCTCAAGATTCTCCATGCACAAGGTGTCCAGCTGCCCGGCTCGCACCACAAGGCTGTGTCTTTCAGCTGTTTTCTGTCAACTTTAACACCTGTGCAAAGAGAACACTAATCAAGTTATCTGTCCTGCCTTTTGTGATCGGAAGGTTATCAAAAGTGTTCTAGATATTGTGACCCATGCTCATCATCTACTTCTAGAAAATTGCATTGAACACACACACACACACACACACCTTTTTATTTAAGCACCCAGTTGAGACCAGTACTCTCAGAAAAGTTAAATCACTGCTGTAGCTGCCATGTCAAAGTCAAGTGTTTTCACAGTCTATTTAAACTTTTATTTAAGCAATAAGGTTCGGGAAAGTCATCTTTTAGTTTTACCTAAATATATAAGAAGAATGCCATAACTTTGATTAATAATTGATTAAATAAACCATTCTGACATCAAACGCAGGAAGAAGAGCTGTGCACTGAAAGGCTAGACTATCAAATAGGACTTTGTTGTCTTCAACGTTGCTTTAGAACTGCAGCATTATAGAGTAAGAACATTAATTTTTGAGGTCTTTTATAATCATGTGAAATAAAATGGACTCCTTTTCTTCCTTAATTAAATACTGGTAGTGTTAAAACACTATAAATTTAGAAATAATCATACAGCCTAATCATTTTCTGTCTGTTCCATTGGCTTTATAACTAATTTATATTTAACCTTCTTGGGAACCTACGATCAGAATGTACTTTTTTAAAAAATTCAAGGCAACTGTCACTGGTGTCTAATACCTGTGCAAAAGGGAACTGGGACTTAAAAATGTTTAAAAACTGAGGGCTGATCTACAATGGACTGCACTGCTTATATGATTTGGTAGCAAAATAGCCTCTGCCTTCTTATGATTACAGAGCAATTGATAAATGCTTAGCTCATTTGTTCCTATTTTCTATTTATAGTGATAAATTTCATGTTAAAAATAATTGCAGTTGTATAAATGCTCGTGTATTTACGTTAATATTAGCGTTACAATATATTTAATTAGACAATCAGAATTGAAAGGGGACTGATTTTGGTCCATATGTTATAACTGTTTGATACTATCGTTCTTCTTTACCTTTTGCTTCAAATAATGTTTTAACTGAATTCAGTCTTCCTTCATTTGTACTTTAAAAAAGGCAAAAGGATTGTAAAATTTACCTGTGACATGAGTATAAAATTCATTGTCCTGACAGGAATGAATCCACGCAGACTATGATCAAAACCGTAGCCCTAGGGTAACACAGAACGAGTGTCAACTACATTTTGCTGTTAAGTTTCACAAAAATCCCCTCTGGGAATTTCAATCACAATATTCTGAATCTATATTTATGCAATGGTTACAAAAAATTACAGAGAGGGCAGATAAAAATTGTATGTGCTTGAATTTCAGAACCATTCTTTTGTGATTGAAGAACAAAATATTCTTTAGATTTTGCTATTTTATGAAAAAGGAACAATAAAGATATTATTCAGTATTCAAGAGTATCTTACCAGAGATTTACATGTAAAATCCCTGCTAATGTAACTTTCTTCTCCTTGAACTATTCAAAATTTATTCAGCCAAAATTATCAAATGAGTACATAGATAGATCAGTATCGCTATGATTCATATCAAAAACATTCTCTTTTCTGTCCTTTCTTCACCCATTGCATGTCTGCACTTGGAGAGAGAGACAGCTGGTATAGGGATGTGAAAGGTTGCTCTTTAATTCAGACCAACACAGATGATTTTGCTGGCACTGTTAAGAAAATGTACAAAATCATTTAAAGTCAGTAAAATTGATTCTCACTTGTTCGGGTGCCTGATTTTTCACAACCAAATAAAGGCCCTCAGATTATGAAGCAGGACTTTGAACAAGTTAGTTAGCCTTGCTGAACCTCAGTCGTTCAGCCTGGACACTGGGCATCATGACGCCTATTTTGTAGTTCTGTGTTGATGAACAGTCTCAGTTCTAACCAGGAGAAGAGGAAGGATTTGTACATTTCTGGTGGGTTCAAGATCATCTTGATACAGAAGTGATCTGAGTCCACAAGCCAAGGCTGGCCATGCTCTCCCTGGTTTCTTTTATTAGACCTTGTATAGGAAAAGTTGCATAGAATCATCTCTTTCAAGCTGTGGTACAACTGACTGAGGAAGATGAAATCTCTTTTCTTTTCTTGAAGTATAGTCAGTTTACAATGTTGTGTCAATTTCTGTGTACAGCATAATAGTTCAGTCATACATATGCATACATATATTCCTTTGCATATTCTTTTCCATTATAAGTTACTACAAGATAGTAAATATAGTTCCCTGTGCTATACAGTATAAACTTGCTGTGTATCTGTTTTATATACAGTTGTTAGTATCTGCAAATCTCCTCCAAAAGACACATTTTTGTATGAGGTAAGACTAATTGATCAATTAAAATGCCTGTAATATTATCTTGTGAAGGTGGATGGGTTGGGAGCGGGGTTAGCTGTTTGGAATTGATATTCGCATACATAGCACCATTAAAATGTCGCTGTAGAATCCTACCAATAGCATCACCCCTTCTCACACATGTGCCTGTAAATTTGACTTTTTAAACTCTTGTGTTAGTCAGATATCATTTTCTCCGAGGCGCTAGTAAAATGTGACGTACTATTATTTTATAGGCTTTGAAGGGGAATAGAAAATAATTAAAAACGGCTGCTAAAAAAGTAAGTATGTGTGGCATGAAGAGCCTACGGGCAGATGATAATCTCTGGTTGGATTACTTGCTGTAAGATGTGAATATGTTGTCTTTAAGGGAAAAAATGCCACTAAATAAGCTCTGATTATATTCTCAAACTCTTGTTTCCTCAAATAATTTATGTACTCTTGTATAGAGTCAGCCGTGGTACATTTCTGGACAGGCCCAGTCACCAAGTAGTCACTCAGGACCTACAAAGAAAAAAACACATAATACTGACTTCACGTAAAAAAAATTAATTAGCAATGCCAGGCAACGTTAAAAAGATGCTCTATGATGGATGATGATGATGGTTGTGGTGGTGGTGGAGGTGTCCACCATTTGTGAAGCCCTTCCTAGAGGCCTAACCATCTATTCCTTCAGCAAATAGTATGAATTTCTTACTCAGTGCCAAACATTGGTCTCAGTGCTGGAATAAATGAGCAACTCACAAAATCGACAATATGTCTGGCTTCTTAAGCTTATAGTGGAGGGAGATAAGCAATGAATAAAAATAAACACACTAAGATAAATACGACAACCAAGATAAACATTTTAAACCACATTCTGTGGCTGAGAAAACAGAGACAGGGTGGTGAAGTCATTTGTCTACACTCCAACAGCTGGTGGAATGGCAGAGCTGAGATTCAACATATTCTATAAGATTCTTTGTATATATTGTGATGCATCTCAGAAAAGACCCTCCACAACTACAGAGGTGAAAGAGCTGGCTTGATGTTGGAATTTGAACATAATTTCTTGAACAAGGAAGTCTCTGGATCTATTTTTGAAGGAGGCAAAGCATTTAGATAGAATTTACATTGGGCACAATCAAAGGTATAGCGCAGACAGACACTGGGTTGTGTTTGGAAGACAGGAGATTAATTTGAATATAATGGAGAGCGGAGGATAAAAGAAAGAAGTAAAATTCTTGTTGGAAGAACTTGTGTGACTGATGAAAGAATCTTGACTATCCTGCCTGCCATCCATAGACACATGAAACTTTTTAAATCAAGAGATTCCTGATAGTTGTGTTATAGGAAGATTAATCTGGTCACTGGGAATGTACACAAAGCTGAAGGAGTGAGAGTTTGCATGTCAGAGGGTCCAGTAGTCACAAGGCTACTGTAATAGTGTGAAAATGAGTTAGGGTGATTGCCATGGAATAAAAAAAAAACAACAATGCAGGAAATTTTCAAATAATGTAACTAGAAAAAATAATTAAAATCCCTAGTAGTGATTAGAGTTATCTGAAGTTTATTAAGGTTATGTGATACAGCCTTCTATTTGCTGCTGTAATATGTGAGCTAAGACATAAAAGGCAAGAAGGAAAGAATAGGTGGGTGAAAAGAAAGGCCTTTCCAAGCACAGGAGACAGCAGGAGCAAAAGCAGGCAACAGCCACAGCTAGAGCAACTGAAAAGAAAGTTTTCTTTTAAAAATTGGGGTTCAAAAAACACTTGGTCCAGTCTGATTGTCATATATTCACATTAAATACAAATATCAAATACTACATTTTAATTAGCTTAAATGCATTTCCTTGGTCTTAAATAGTAACTGGGCCTTATCACTTATTTCCCATCTTTTTTCCACTTTTCTTAAGATGTTGCATTTATGTGTGAATTTTCTATACCTGGATTACAAACTCTTAAGTGTTTAGAAGTATTTTTATCTGGTCCACAGTTGAAGCACTCATTGAATACTAACTACAGGTGGTTGAGTGATGGAAGGATGGATGTGACAGGCTGATAATGTCTCCAAAATAAGTCCCTGTCTGAATCTGTGGTACCTCTAACTATTATCTTATATGGTAAAGTTTTTGCAGATGAGATTAAATTAAGGCTTTTGAAGTAAGGAGATTGTCCTGGATTATCTGGCTGGGTCCTAAATGCCATCACAAATGCCCCTAGAGGAGAGATACAGAAGGACTGAAGACACAGAAAAAGAGGAAGCAATGTGACAATTGTGGCAGAGGTAAGAATGTTGTGGCCACAAATCAAGAAATGCCAGCAGCCACCAAAAACGGGGAGTCAAGGAGCAGAATCTCTCCTAGAGCCTGCAGGGGGCACGGGGCCCGCCAATACCTTGATTTTGACCGAGTGAAACTGATTTCAGACTTGTGGCCTTCAGAACTGTGAGGGAACAAATTGCCTTTGTTTTTAGATACCAAATTTGTTTGTAATTTGTCACAACCATGGGAAATGAATCCAGTGGATGCTCAGCATATTAAACATCAGTGGAAATGTGGTTTTACCAATATCTACTGGCCAGAGGCTTCCTCTGAAGCAGAAGAGAGTGAAACGTTGCCTCGGCAGTGCCGACCGTTTCCACTCCTGGCACACTCTCAGCAGTGCCAACAGATTCTGGGAATGTGAGTCCATGGAAAATGCCGTTGACATTTTGAATATTCTGATTTGGACTTACTGGCCATTCTACTCCAGAAATATTTATAACAAACTAATATATCTTCATGTTAACCCTATGCTAGAGATTTTTAAACATTGCAGCAAAGACAAATATCAGAAATTATTCCCCATTATGGATGTCAGACCCACACTGACCTTAAAAATTAAAACATGCAATACATTTCAAATCATATTAAATTCTGTGTTATGTACAATCTTAAAACTATTTCAGAGGAGTTGAATTATTTTCTAGGGGTTCACAGTATCACACATGTACTTAAGACTATATATAGATATGAAATTGCTAATGAATCTTGGTATTATTAAACATATTACCATGATAAAAATGTAACCAAAATGAATCCACATATTCTGAAGAATGAAATATAGCTTGTGGCCTCAAGGTTTTGTCTTATAATCTCTTAGTTTCAATGTCCATATCTCAATCAAATCAAGGGACCATTTGAACTTATACGCTTAACTAAGTAGATTTACTGCTGAGTAATTATGTTAAACACAAATTTATCTTAAAGATGTGTAAATTGTTTTCTACTTTTTTCTTTGAAAGAGGTAGTTACTAATGACATGTTAACAAAGCCTCAGAAATTGTGACTGTGTGTTCATGAAGGTATACACATGTAATAATTGTTGAATTGTTCTGCTTTCATATTTGGAATTTTCACATATGTACCTGCTTTAAGAAACACTGTAACATAAAATCTTAATTTGATAAAATCAATATACAGGAGAAATACATTATAAACCAGGGACCTTTAAGTTGACCAAATGGCCTTGTTGATCATGTGATCTAACACCTACTTTTAATAAAAGACTAGACTAAGACTCAGAGATGTAAGTGATTCGACTAAAGGCACGTTGCAAGCTACTGGACAAGACAGGAATAGAATCCATGTCTTTCAATTCCTGGTCCAAGACTCTTCAAAAGCCCCAGGGCTGGTTATTTCCACTAGTTATTCTAAGACTTTGGTGTAAGTTGTTAACTCCCTAAGTGGGTAATGGAGGAAAAGCCAAGGAGCAAAACAGGGTGAAAGTGATGGAAACCAAATGGAGACCAGCCCAAATTAAAGGTAGATATTATGGTGATATTAAATAAAATACTTTTTTTGAACATC